GGTGTCTATCGAGTCAATCACTACCTTTTCTCACCGGATCTGATCTTATTCTCGGTGCATCACAATCTTCCCCCTTCCACTGCCATCCATCACAACTCTCTCACCAGATCTCGTCCTTCTCTGTTCACCCCCAACCTCCTCCCTCTTCCTGCCATTCGCTTGCTCCCCACTCTTTATCTCTCACTCAATTCTCACAGCCAGATGCTGTCTCCTAACTCGTTCCCATCATTACCTTGCGGGACATCTCGCTGATCGCTGTACAAGTCGATCTTCTCGCCCTTTCTCTCGACATTTAAATCATGCGAAAATTTGCACTTGAAGCCTTTTGTGCATTGACCCCTTCTGAAGAATTCGCACAAAATCGACTTCGGATCAACACCTGCACACACATCAACCCAACAACAGCCAGCATGAGGACAGGGTCTACCTTCCACCCACTAAGCAAAAGGCCTCACTTACGCGCACACACACACACATATGGATCAGTCCCATAGAATCGATGTTGCATTGACAAGAGAAAAACTTTGGCGAAACCGAGCAGAAACCCCTTTTGTTGCGCAAGATGTGCCTTCTTCTTTTTTTTTCTTTTAACTGCGTTCTTTAAAAAATTTTCTTTCGTTGTTCCTCTGTCCTCTTCCATCTTTCATTAGTGCATGGAATGAGAGTCCGCAGTATACCCTTTTGTTGAGCGAGATGTGGGTTTTGCTTGCATAAACAAGTGTTTGAGAAAAAAAAAAAACGAGACGCATCCGCAACAGACACATAGGGTATATCACGGAGGACGCTTCCATACAAAAATGATGAAGATCATCCAATGCCCCAACAGGCTCATCTCTGTACGCGACAGCGGGCATGCACTACTGGCAACAAACTTGAACAAACGCTATACCAGCCAGCAGATCCCATGGAAGGAAAAAAAAAAAGTTTTTCAGCAATTTTCATTCCAGAAATGAAAAACGGAATGCAGCGGACTACCAACTTGCCTCGCTCAGTTGGTACAGCCCCTACCCCTGAACTGAACTGTTGAAATACAGGCCTGAGTTCAGACACCACTGGAAGCAGATGACCGACATACCACAATTTTTTTTTTTTTTTAATACCACAATTCTGAATTACCCAGGGCCGGTCAATTCAATGATGATATCTCAAGGCCGTTGCACTTCCCAAAAAAAAAAAAAAAAAAAAAGGACCGACAACAACAGGACATGTGGCAAGAGAAAAGGAGACGTACCGACTGGAACCTTGGGCTGACTGATCGCAACCTTGAACAACTCATTCAGCTCCTTCTCGCGGGCAGCTTCCTCCTCTTTCTTCTTCTGCTCAGCAACAAAAAGTCGACGATGACCCCCCCCCCCCAAAAAAAAAAGCGAGTCAATTCAAAAGTGCAAGGAAGATGAGCATTAGCGAACTTCAGCAATCAAACAGCATCATACATATGAGCCC